ACAGAGGCCGCGGCTCTCCCATTAAGGCACTGAGGCCACACCTCTTTATTTGGATTGACAGACAGAGGTCAAACCTTTCTTACTAGTTGCAGAGGCCATGCCTTGTACACTGTAGCTGAGAAAAGTATGAAAAGAGAGAGAGAGAGAGAGAGAGAGAGAGAGAGCACGAAGGAAACACAGTAGTGCCAAAGGAAACTCATTTAATAATGTTTTGAAATAATAATTTGCCAGTTATAAAATGAGCTGCGTGTGTGGTACAAGACTTTACAGGTACAGACACGTCTGGATCTGTTCATTCACTCATACACACTGCTTTTGCATCTGTGGCAATCTGTGTCAGTCTTTACACCATTGCTAATCATGACTGCAATTGTCCCTCTTTATTTACAGCTGCTGCATGTATGAATGAAATAAAATGAAAGAAGTGCGTTACCTGGGTGTCTGCGAAGCCACTCGTCAAAGATGGCGTCAGTGAAGGTGTGGAGCAGGACGAAAATGGGATCGTTAGGGGACAGGTGTGTTTGTCCACCAGTACCATTCAGGAACAGGTGAGCCAAATTGTGCAGACTTCGCACCACAGGGTCATAGGCACCCTCGGGGGCGCTGTAGCCTAGCAACACAAGCAAAGGTTAGCGTCCTTAAAATTGTATACGCAGCTACATTATCTACAGACAACAAGCTAAACTTGGCTAAACTATTCCTCAACATGGTGCATGGGTGGTCTGTTGACCATTTTACTGTTGGAACAGGGTTTTGTTTATGTGTGTGTATATGTGTGTGTTTATATGTTGATCTCTCCACCCTCAATGGTGTTTCTGAAGCTGTCCGTTGAAGTAGAGTAAAATGGAGGGGTGTCGAATGTGATCAGCTGCAGGCAGGCTTCTATGTCCTGAGGCTCTGGAAGCTTCTGCACCATGGGCCGGGCCACGTTCCCTGCTGGGTTCCTCCTGATGGGGCTGCTCTCGGTACCTGAGAGATAGAGAGAGAGAGAGAGAGAGACAAAGCCAAGAGTAGTCGAGAAACGGCAGAGAAAGACGTGTGTGTATTTGCTTAAATTATGGCATCATGGCTCCTGTGTAAGGCCTTGCCCTTTAGTTAGGTGATCACAAACTCAAATCATGACATGACTATGATTGCATGAACACCAGGATGAATAGATGAAGTGACCTGGAGGAAGCACGTGTTAGCCTTCACCCTCTGTGTAACTGGCAAGACCTAGCTATTAGGTAAGAACTGGCTACTGAACTGGGTGAAAATTGGGTAAAAAATTATAAACGTCATAAAGGTGCCACATCAGGCTTAAAGGTCACAAGACAAGAAGGGATAAAACAGTGAGAGAAAACAAGACTATAATCTGCTAATCCACTTATCGCTTGTGTTTGGCCCATAAATGAAGCACATACTGATAATCCTTAAAACCCAGTATGGGCTGAGATTATTCCCTGAAGGTTTTCATCATGTGAGAACCATTAGCATGCTATGTGGTCAGGTGGAATGCAGATGGGCTCACATGCCAGGTCTGATATTTCAGCAAACGTGAAGAAAAAGCTCTTGTACCAGAAGCTGAGGAAGCTGTGAAACCACATTGGAAAACATCAAGAAGACTATGGAGAACATAGGGGATCTGTGTGTGAGAAATGGAGTGAAGAAGAAGAAGAAAAGGTACTGACTGTTGCAGATGGTGCCCAGCGTGTCATATTCGTCCAGGCTCTCACACACGACGCGCCACTGGGAGAAGATGGAATTGGAGCTGATGCCATTTTCATCAAAGCTGCTTCTGGCACCCATTAGATCATCAGTGCAGATGTCACACTGGTTTCCTCCGATGGCAAAGTTCCAGTATGGAAGAGCGAATCTCGGGTCTCCCAACATGTCCTGAAAAAATAACGAATCACTGCTTAACATCTTACGACAAATGTTTTAGTGCATACTAGGTGTGTGTTTTACTTTCCCCAGCACTGTAAGCTGTTAAAATAATTAATAATTATAATAATAATCTTAATAATGAAATCTGATTATGACAAGCTTTTTACCTGCATGTCACGCTCAAGCTGCAGGAGGTGGTATCGGTGCCACGTGACGAACCCAGGTCCCTCGTGAGAGAAGTCCACACCCCCGAAGCTGGGCTGTCCTCCGCCAAGAAACGTCTTACTCACGGAGTAGTAGTGTGACCATACGAAGTAGTTGTAGATGGTGATGTTTTCGAACATAGTGGTGTTACCATCAGGGTTGAACAGCTCCTCATAGCGGCGCGTGGCGATGACCAGGTCTGGGTGTATAGTCCGCTTGGCCCGGTCCATGGCATTCACGAAGGAGCGCCTCTCAGTCGTGCTCAGAGTTAGAATATTTCTTCTGACTGAGCGAGAAAGAAGATAAAGTTAGATGACCACGATGATGATGATTTTGCTACTTTACGCACATACCAAAATTAAACTCAATAACAACATAAAAAATTTAAGTCACAGTAATATCACAAATCTTGTAGTTTTAGTTGAATCGGGGTTTTCATTATGCAAAATGTAGCTTTAATTCAACTTG